TAACATTGTTTTTTACATCTCAATATTAAGTTTACTGATTACTCTTATAATCAGTTATGTGATGAATGAAAGAAAAAAAAATCGATAAATTATTGGTTTTAATAAAGATTACAAACCTCTCTTGGTGAATCAACACGTTGAATAGTTGAATTGACTGATAATTGATTTAAACGTTGTTCCATATCATTTAATTTAAATTGTAATTGTTGATTTTCTAAACGAAGTGATTCATTATCTTGTTGAAGATCATAGAATTTTTCTGAATTATAATTTGATAATTGAAGTTCATCGATTTGTTGTTGTCGTTCCTGTAATTGTTGTTCAATTTGTTGTTTAGATAATATTAATTGTGCATTATGTTCATGAAATTCTTCACGTTCTCGATAAACATCAAGTAATTTTTGATTTAATTGTTCAAGATTTTGAGAAAGTATTGTCTCATTAAATTGATACTTAGATAATTGTTTCTGTACAGAATCAATTGTTGAATTTGTGTCTAAAAAAAGAAGAAGTTAACATTGTTTTTTACATCTCAATATTAAGTTTACTGATTACTCTTATAATCAGTTATGTGATGAATGAAAGAAAAAAAAATCGATTTTATAATCTTGAGAAATATCAATCGGAGTGTGTACAGTAAACATAAAAGATTCCTCAATTCTTACTATTATTCTATGTTGATTCATTAAAAGTTTCTTATCACGTTTGAAGAGTCAAAAATGCATTCAAAATAGTAGCTTGAAAAAAAAAGATATTGTAAAGACGAGAAGAAGATAGTACGTCATTATGTCAACATACTGCATATATAGATACGACATGAAATATTCAAATAAACTCTTCAAATGAATATCAATAAAATGGATTCAACAAGTAAAGAAAAAACTAATTTTACTTTTTATGAAACACGATCTGAAAATAGTGTTGAAGTATAAAGACGAATATTACGAATATGTAAGTGTTCGCAGGATTTTGCAATATATATCCAAAATAAAATTTAGGAAGTAGTTGAAGAGATTAAATCATAATGTTTTCTTAAAAACCTTTTAAAATAGTTTGTTACCAAGGTAAAAAAAAAGAAGATTTTCATTAGGATGAAGTCTAATGGTTTCAACCCTTCAGAGTTAGTGAAGCCTCTACTTGTGTCAAATGCTCTTTTCTATGCAATATTTATTCCGCTATTTACTGAACTCAATAGAATGTATTTTTTTAATGTCCATACACATATAGTACGTATTTTCCTCGATTTGTAAATGAAAAAACTAGAATTTCAGAATTTCCCATTCGAATGTAATAGAACGCGACATTTATGCGGATATTTACTGATTGCATTTCTGAAGGGTTAAGTAAAAAAATGATGAAGAAACATATCTCGAAATAGATAGAATAAAACAAAAATTTCCTGTGATTAGCAACAACGCTTACATCATAATTTACATTTTACTCCCACAGGAATTTCGCTAACAGCGCTTTTTACTATGT